TTTTTGTTTTTTTTTTTTTTTTTTTTTTTTTTTTTTTTTTTGATTGATCCATTCATTCAATTATCGTTCAATCACTTTTTTCGTTTCTCGTTTTTTTCATTTCATTTTATTTTAGGCTACCATTTTTTATCGTTTATTTAACCAGAGCTTTTTGTGTTGATTGTATACCAGATTTATTATTTAGTATTTTTTTCTGGCTTGGTTATTGTAATTCAATGATTAATCCATGTAAGTATTTATGATTTATATGATTGAATTTTTGGATATCTGATATGATGTACAATGAATGAATTTTTCGTTTCCAATTATCATCATTCTTTTTTTCTGTTTTTGCAAATTTTTTTTAATTCAATTTGAATCTTTCACATCCACAACATGTGGTTATTTCAAATCGATCATTCCTTTGATTGATTTACAATGAAAACCAAAAAAATCATTTGAGATTTGAGATTAAAAATTTTTATCAAAAATTCAATTTACAAAATTTAAAAAAGTCAAAACAGAAAGCCAAAACCCAGTGAAAGTAAAGCAAAAGTCCAACATTTCCTTTTCATCGGAAAAATGAAAATTTTTCTTCTTCGAATCTAGCTTAATATTCAAGTCCTTATGATGATGATGATGATCATCATCATCATTATCATCATGATTTTGGTTCTATTCTGGGAAACACACAGAAAAATGAAAAATAGAAAATTTATTCGTGCGTATTCACAATGTTTTCCTTTTGTTTATAGCATTTCATTTTTTTTTCTTCTTCTGAAGTGTTTCCATCATCATTGAGAAAATAAAATTGATAATGTATATTGAAAGAATCTTGAATGTTTTTTTTCAAGCCCCGAAAAATAAAAAAGATTTCACTTTTTATTATTATTGTTATTTTAGAGGAAAATGGCCGAAAAGATAACTCAGAAATACTCTGTTTCTAATATTTTTTTCTCAAATGGCTATTTGAATTTATGCATTCTTTTTTCGTTTGTTTTCTGTCGTTTTTTCTGTTTTTGTTTTCGTTCGGAAAAAAAATGATAACGGTAGTCATCCATTCATTCATTCAAATATTCGTTATCATCAAATGGCCAAAAGGCACCAAATTTTTTTTCTCCATTGAACAATCATAATGATAGTAAAAAATTCATTGAGCTTTTTTCGGCTAAAATCCTCATCATCATTATTTCAATGGAATTTTTATTATCATCCCTATATCCATCATCAACAGTGTTGAAAATAGAAAAAGATTTTTTCCAAAATCAAATCCAATTAATTGATTTTTTGTTTTTGGGGAAAAAACAAAACAAAAACTTTAACAAACAAATAGGCTCGACAAATTTGTTTTTTCAAAGGAAAATGTTTGTTTCGTTTTGTTTGTCTTTTTCTTATTCACATCTTTATTATTCACAAGGAAAAAAACATAAAACTTGTAAAAACTTGCAAAAAGTTTTCGTTTTGGCTACTAAAAAAAAATCAAATTAAAAATAAGTTTTTTGAAGAAAGTTGTAGTTTTTTTTTTCGCTGTGTGTTCTGTTCTGTTTTATCGATCATCATTTGTTTTTCCCATCATCATCATCATTTTGACACCGAATGATAACATGATACCAGATGATCTTTTCGAAAAAAAGTTAGCCCAAAAAAAAATATCCAAAACATAAAAATAAAACGAAAGTTTTTTTTTCACCTGATGCCTTCGCTTTTTTCCCCCTTTTTTCGAAAATATTCAATTTTTTCTTTTGCCTTAAAACAGGGATTTAGCAATCCAAAATAAACGAAAAACATCAATCAAATTCATCAAATCAAGTCAATAAAAATGGCCAAATTGATTGAATCTTTTTTTTTCAAAAAATGCTAAAAACAATCTTCGTCGATGATTCATTGATTTCTATTGATTTCTATGGAAAAAGAAGCAAGAAGAAAAAAACTTTTAATTTGCTTGTGTTAAATATCTCTATATCCACCGTTATCACTTTTTTTTCGTTCTTGGTATTTGTGTTTCACACAAGTTTCAAATGATAAATGCAAAAAAGCAAAATGCTAAAAAACTATTTTTATGTTTAAGGAAAAAATTATTATTATCATGTCATTGTCGTAAATGATGATGTTGTTGTCAAACAGTTTTATCTTGTTACTTTTATTTTCTGAATTCAATTGATTCGTTTTGTTTTTCCCCCGTTGAATCGATAATTAATCGTTTGATAGTCAAATAGTTTAAAAGGTTTCTTCTTTTCTGTATCTTTTTTTTTTGAATGTTTTCACTGCAGTATTCAAATTGTCAACATTTCTTGGCTGGTTCAGAAAATATGGAAATTTTTTCCAATTTTCTGTTCTGTTGTTGTTGACAGGCAAACAAACAAGCAACACTAAAAATATGACACATGTCGCCAGGTCCAAAGATTTTTTTTTTCCAAGAAAAATTTTCATTTCCATTTCCATTCCATCCGAATGAAACATTCATAGCATTGAATAAATCAACAGTGGTTAAAAAATAAACAATGGAATCAGCTGGCAGAGTCTGACAAGCTAGATGGCAGAACATTCGTAATCAAACGTCAAAAATTGCCGCCAAAATGGTTTGGGTATAAAAGTCAACAGAACAGCATCATCATCATCGATCATCCATCATCGCACCAGTTATCGTCATCAATCCACATCGTCGTCACTGAACATCTGACGTTTATTTATTTATCTATTTGTCTTAGTTCTTTTTTACACATATTCTCATACTTGTTTTATCATTGTGAATTTGTACTTTTAATTTATAATCAATAAAATCATTTTTAAAATACCAACTTGTTCAATCGGATGAAGTTTTTTGAACATTTCGTTATCAGCACCATTGTTGTAGCCTCCGACAAAGCGAACAACTTGGTATAATCGAACTGACGCAACGAACGATCGCAACGAAAGACGACGACGACAACGAAATATAGTAAAGAACGAACATCGAACGACGACGACGGTATCGAGCGAAAACGGAAACGAACGATATTAAACGAATAACGACGACGACGGTAACAAACGGAAACGAACGATAATATCGAATAACGACAACGATAACGTAACGAATAATAACAACGAACGACGTAAAACGATAGTGGTATCATCAACGACGACGAAAGAGTGACGATAATTAACGGGTGAATCAATAACGACGTAGCGAAGGATTAAGATCGAGAACGACGACGACGATAAAGTAAATAACGATATATAACGGTCGAATTGAAAGACGACAAATAATCGATTATGATGTTGCTGAAATCCGGTAATCGGTATGGTGATGATGAAGTATTAACGAAAGAACAACTGATCAAAGAAATAAAAGAGATCGTGACAACTATACGAACCATGGAAGTTAAGATGTTCAATCAGGGTATCGAAATAGATCATAATGATATTAAAAGCATTTACGAGAGATATTATCAACTATGTGTTGCAATAATCAAAAATGATGACGTCGATAAAGAAACTGAAAATAGATTCAACGACGCGAGAGATAAAATTGACCTCATGTTTAAGTACAGTAAATTAACTGCGATCTTGGAACAGTATCTTGAAAAACGGACGTGGACATATAACGAAGCATTAATCGTTGACGAAAAATTGCCAGAATTAAAAGCAATATCATTGAAGTATTCATACATCATACCGAACGTCAACAAATTAAATGAACGTATTGCTTATTATGATGATTCATACTTCTTCGATGATTATGAAACGCTGTATGGGACGAAGATGAAGATGAATAATGGATTTACTATGAAAGAAAATCAAATATAAATGAATCATTTGAGAAAAAGCTTATTGGGATAATAATTATGGATGAACAACCATCAAGCTCACCAGCCCATGGCAATGAAAACATCAATTTCCGTAAGCAAGAATTCAAATTAACATGTTGAAAAATACTTTCCTAAAGTTCATCATGTTAATTTGTTCGTTGATAAACAATAATCAAGAAGAAACGGACGAAGATAATGATGAATACTATATTCAAGAAGATGAACATTATCATTACCTGCCAATTCGTCGTCATAGCATCTGAATAGGAATGAATTCAATCCAAATTTTTAAATTAGTAAAGCCTTCTACGTCATATAGTGTAGAATAATTTTTTCTCTTTGTTTTAAATAAAATCAATCATAAAATTCAACAATTGATCTACAATTCTAATAGAATCTAATTTTATTATTATTACAATCCTGTCCACTAATTTGATGTTCCATGTTGGCTGTTGATAATTCGGCCTTGTGGGCTGACATGATATCTATGAATAGTCATGTTGATATGTGACCCTGCGCAGGAAACTAAAGCTGTAAACACATGTTTTCTGATCATATATAAAAATGCGTTGTATTTTGTTATGTTGGATTGATCTTTGAATTTGAAATAAAATTTATCTTTTTTACGTTNTGCAATGACACTGAATCAAATACTGGAATTTGTCAAAACTGGTTTAGACCGTGAACGTATAGCGAATTCTCAAATTGCTGCAAGTGAAGTGGCAGTAAAACCATCGAGTAAACCACATGTTCCATTTCAACGACCAACCAGGAACGTGATGGTATCGGCATCGTTCAACACATGCATGTTTGGTGATGGTAGACACAAAACAGCTGAATGTCCACTATCGTATACAGAACGTCGTCAAATAGCAGTTGAGAAGCGATTATGTTTTAGATGCGGAATTGCTGGGCATAACAGCCGCGATTGTCGACGGAAATGTCAATGTACCATATGTGGAAAGAATCATATCCAATATTTATGTTATGAAGTGAAATCAACATCGGCGAAACCAAATAATGAGTCCAATAAAAATCATCAAACAGTGCCAAAACAAATCGCAACAACAACATCGAACGAAAACAGCGCATCATCATCGAGATCATCAGTATTGTTGACAAATAGTGGTACCAGCTTGTACAAAACAACAACAACGACCATCAATAATCGATCAGTACGTATATTGTTAGATGACGGATCAGGGTTGTCATTCATATCGCGTCGATTAGCAAATTTGTGGAATCTGAAGACAACCGAAAGTGAACCAATCCAATTGGAAACGTTAAGTCAATCGTCGGCAACATTGACAGGTGAGAAAATGGTATCGTTACCAATACCGATTTGGACGGGCAAGTACGAGAATCTCGACTTCCGAATTAACGATAAGATCAACCAGTTAAGCTTTGATTGCATATCGACACCACAACAACAAACGTTACGTAGTCATGGTATAGACGTTAATGATCAGCCAGGTATGGTCGATATTCTAATTGGTTTGGACCATATCAACAAGATACAATTGAATGAAGAAAAAAGAGTATCGGATAATATCGTTGCCAAGCGAACAACGTTGGGTTGGATTGTGTACGGATTATCGAAATCGATCAACGTTTTGTCGACATTGTATAATAATAACGAAAGTGAACCAACACCGGACTATGACATTGACGAGGAAACAAAAATCGCCATGACGAAATTTATCAATGATTATTGTCAACGTAATTTAAGTTATGATGCAGTGGCTAAACGATATTCAGTGAAACTGCCATTTATCGGAAACACTGAAGTTGAACCAAATTATAAAGAAGCTAAAGGTATGGTGATCGGTATGACGAAACGTATGGATGATGAGCGTCGGAAACAGTACCAGTTATTGATTGATGAAATGGAGCAAAAGGGCGTCATCGAACGTATCGAAGTAGCACCGAGTGAAGGCTATCATATGCCACATTTTATAGTAGCTCGGGAGGACAAAAATACCACCAAATATCGTATGGTCTTCAATGCATCGAAAGGTGATAAATCATTGAATGGAGCCATATTCAAAGGTGTAACCGGATGGAGTATTATACGTTCAATCATTAATTTTCGGACGAAAGCGGTCGGTGTAATTAGCGATATTCAATCCGCATTTCATAACATCGAAATTAAGCCGGAACACCGTAAATATGTGAAATTCTTGTGGGTCGGACCAAAAGGTATGGAAACTTGTTATCAGTTTAATCGATTACCATTCGGTCTAGCATCAAGCCCATTTATATTGTTTGCCGTGATCATGTACCATTTAAAATCGTTTGAAACAAAATTCCCGACGACGGTAAACATCATTCGACAAGGATTATACGTAGATGATTTGATATTTTCGGCTAGAGATGCAATTGAAGCAGAATCGATAAAGAATCAATGTTTAACGATATTTGACAACGCATCGATGAATTTACGTAAATGGAGATCTTCGGACGAAAAATTAAACAAAATCTGGAACGATCAATTAGCCGAAGCCAAAGTACTTGGTATGGAATGGACAACAGCAGATGAATTGCGTGTATCGATTCCTGAGTGGAAAGTCAGCAATGAAACCACCAAACGTCAACTGGTGAGCTTCCTGGCGTCCATGTATGATCCGTGTGGTATGGTATTAGCCTGCACATTGCAGTTAAAGTTAAAAATACATGAGATCTGGAAGAAAGAATTAGATTGGGATGACGTATTGCCAGAGAAGGACAAGCGACAAGTAATCAAGATTATCGATGATTTGAAACGATTAGCTGAATTTAAAGTTCCACGGTTTACATTCAATGAGAATAC